GGGGGGGTGTTTATGGTTGTTGTTTTTTTGTGGGGGAGGTTTAAACAAAAACGTATTTTAATGGACAAAATGGAACAAGCCAGAACATGAACAAAAAGTGCGAAAATGTAACTCAGTTGTTACTGTTGCATTTCTCACCCCTGTAGCAAATGTAATTATCTGTAATACATGTAGGCCTACATAATATGGTATTAAGCGTAGTTTTCATGAGTTACCACCACCAGTACAGATGTAGTTAGAGAAACTGACAGCAGTACTGGCGGGGGTCATCGCAGGTCGCGTTCAGGCTGTGCGGGCAGTGGATGGTGGAGGACTTGGACAGGCACTGACCTTTGACCTGAGAGCAGGGAGGGGGCGGCGGTGGCTGGACTGTCCAGGGGTCAGCTGGGTCGGGAGTTCGCGCTGAGGACGAGAAAAGGAATGTTCCGACTGCGTAAACTCGAACATGTGGTTATCTTATTCCCTGTTTGTCGCAGCAAGTTTGGTGTAAACGTTAATATTTTAGACATAGAACTGACATAGGCCGGGCACAAAACATAATATGTATCGACTCTCCAGTATAAAAAGTCCGACACACGTCACTCTTCATTCAAAACTGTTGATCCTGTATAGTAGAGTCTTATACTGAGCAGCCGGTATGGCTTCAAGCGATAAGCTCATTTTATAGCCACCCAAATTTTAAAAAAGAATGAATAGCCTACTTGGTATGAGGATACAGTTGGGGTGTTGGGAAGCAAATATTTCTGATCAATAGGAAAGCAAGAAAATAAAAGTGCAGTCTCTAGCTAACTTCTAAGGGTTAAATAATTGTAGGCCTACAGCATTAATTAGCGCGAATTCTCGCCCAATAGCAAGCTCTGTGCGTTTCACAAATCTATGTTACTGCTCCAGCTGACCCGTCCTGGGAAGCATACAGAGTAAGCTACCGTTTTTATAGGTGCTAAAAAAAAACCATTAGCAAACAGACATTTTTCGCAGTTCCTTGTCGTTTCACACCGGGGTGAAGTGAAAAAAAAAGGGTGTAAAGTGCATACAGTAAAGTGCTTTTCCCAAGGACACAACGTTGGGTCGAGCTGAGCCTTTTACTCCCGAACTCACAACCTCACGAGAGTCGGTGGTTGGCGGGTGCTCTGGTGTGGTTTGCTTCTTCTTTCCTATCAAACATCTATCGTCCATATCTCCCCTTCTTTTTTACGTTTGTTACTCTCTTGTAACACCTCTAATCTTCTGGCGCTCACATGACCGTATGCAGTTGCGAGCGCCGTAAAACCTCTACTAAACTAAACTAACCTCACGAGTACGAGTCCGGTAACCTAAGCACTAGACCACCGACGCCGCGGTTTACAGCTGGTTTGAGGTTCAAAGACAGCTTACCTATTGCGCACGCCCGGGGTCTTCGCTGTCTGTTGGGCCACATTGAGTCGCCGTGGCGTCATTCGCAGACGACGCTTTACTTTTAATTTCTTGCAGTTATCGCTCTTAACTATACTCTGTCACATTTTTAAGTATACTCATTTTGAAGCTCAATAAAACAAAATCTATGCAACCTATTACTTTCAAATTTACACACTGATTACGTGATATACCTGTCGCTGGAGAGCTGTTTTCAGATTTCTAAACACGCCAGTGGTTTTGTAACTGCATGTGTGTGACATGTTTTGTCTTTTTTTCAGACTTACTCATGATACGGCAATTATTTTTTAAATAAAACAGAAGCACACATCAAAGCTTTGTCATTTTTGTAACAATTCGCCAGTGATAAAACTTGTTAAATCTACGTTTCATAATGCCACGCCCAAAGAGAAAATGTGCGAAATCAGCTTTTTGGAATTAT